CAAACTGTGGCAGCCGGAGAGGGTCAGGTAGCTCCCTCCTTTCCTCCCGGATCTGCTGGGTAGCAATGAGTCTCTTCAGCATTTCAAATAGTCAGTCAATATCCTCTCGAAGTGAATCTTCCCGGGTTGCTCGGTTTAGTGAGGGTCTTCCTCTTTTCATCTATTTATACCTGCATTTCATAAGGAATGGTTGAGTGATAATTCATTATTTTTGGTGTTTCATAAGGTTTTTGTGTAATGAATGGTTCCGAGGAATGCGACTCTGATACCAACTGTAACAGTTCAGAACTTAAAAGAAAATAAAATCATAAATTGAGAAGCGGAATAATAGAGTTAGGATTTACATTCCTTACACAATAGTTTTAAATATCCAATAGGGTTACGAGAATATCCCTTCTAAAAGAACAAACGAAAATTAAAGAAATAAACGAAAAATAGACAACTGAGCATCTTAGGATGACCTTCACTAGCTTTTGAATGAGTTTAGATGGTGAACTATTCTCAACCCTCTTGTTGATCAGGATTTGGGTCCTGATCCTCTGGATCTGAAATAGTTAATGAAGGGGTACGCTACACTAGCCCAGTAAGAATATCACACTACTCACCGATATAGAAAATAAAGGTTGGTAAAAATTATAAAAACAACTAATAGAGCTTTTAATTTAAGTAAATTTAATTATAATAAATAAAATTATTTATTGCATACTTATCGTTGCGAGATTTCAAAAACCAACCAATAGAGATAACAGTTTGAAGAACATTATAATCTCATATTGAAGTAAGCAAGAATAACAACTTTCTCTTTTTATTTGTCTACTGGTATCCATGGGGATCTATAGGGATGTACCACTACGCGTGGAGCAACATCTAACCTTGTCAACTAACCGGCGGTTCTCATACCATGTCCAGTATGAGTGCTAAAAATAATATCTATTAATACTCTGTCCGGTATGAGGGTGAAATAGGTTGTCCCATATCTCGTCCGATATGAGTACCGAAAATACCAATCTTCGATACCCCATTTCGTATGAGGCGACGTTCACGGTAGAGTTCTCTATATACTCGGTCCGTCCACCATTTTCTAAGATATCCAGTAAGGCTATCATTCATTCATTCACTTAACCAATCAATTTTTCATTTATATTTAATTTTCAGTTTCACAATTTAATCATAAATCAACGCAAGATAAACAATACATTCATTAAGGAAGTACAACTGAATTATTTTACCAATTCGAGTATATTATCATGCATTTAAAGCTGCAAAATCAAACAATCGGTCAAATATGATAAACAATAATAAATAAATGATTCTCGCTCTATTAGTAACCTGTAATTAATTCTCAAAATTTTCTAAATTACGCAAAATACCGTATTATTGATAATTAAACTTCAATTTCATAACAGAGAATAAGGTGAAAGATTCTTACCTGAATTGGTGTCCGAGATACCGAACTTTCTACTGCACCTACTAACGGTTCCCAAATTTCTTGAATTTTCATGCGGAGATTAAAACATGCTTCACGTACCTAAAAATACCCAAAAAAATCCAAAATTGGTACTAAAAACTTTTCTTAGCCAATTTCAGAGTTCTAGTATGGCGGCACTGCCGTGCTCCGACGACGACACCGTTGTCCACGACAGTGATTTACCTCGACCTGATCGTTTTCAGTCGGTTTTATACGTATCATGTTGAGAAAACATGTTAGGGGGCACCGGTTGGCCAAAAAAGTCAAAAAACAAAAATTTACCGGCAGTAAAATTTTTCAGTGCAGTGGCTCCGTCGGCTCACCTTTGCTGCTGGGTGTTTTTCTTTGGTCAACATTTAGAAAACAGAATGGTGAACACAATGGTGGAAAAATTGTACGAAACGGGAAACGAGAATGGGCTCATCAGAGGCGATTTCAGGTTTTGCCTACGGCGGTCGGAGGTGGCTCCGGCGCGGCAGCGGGCAGTGGTCGACGGTCAGTTCTCCGGCGACTGGTTCTTCTTCTCTGCGGGGGGGGGGTTGGCGGCTAGGGTTTGGGTTTGGTGTGATGCAAGATATTTATACCCGTCTCCCTTAAATTTGGACCGTTCATCGTATTTAATCTCGACCATTCAGTCGCGTTTAAAGAAGAAATAAATCTGAACCGTTTATTACAATTTAATCTCGACCGTATGATCGCATTTAAAGAGAAAACCAATATGAACCGTTCATCGCATTTAATCGCGATCGTCCAATCGTGCCTGAGGACTGAACGGATCCAGACCGTCCACTCGCGCGGGAATGCATCCGGGCCGTTCGATCGCGGGCACGCGGATTGCCAGTGTGCCTTACCATGCAGATTTCCAGTGTGCCTTACCACGCGGCGCGCTCCGGTTTGTCGGGGGTGTTGACTGGGCGGTCCTACATGACGCAATTTTTTTAATTGTGTTTTGACCCTAATTTTCAATTTTTCTTTCAAAAATATTATCAGAACCTAAATTTCACCTATTTTTCTTAAAATTATTTTCAATATTATTATCCACCTATTTTTTTTTTCCTAATTTTACATTAAATAAAAATTTATAAATATAAAAATTATATTTTTATATATTTTTTTAATTTTAAAATTAATTTTAAGTCAAATTTCGAGTCCGGGTATTACATAAAATATAAGGATAAAATAAAATAAATTCATGGTATTAATTAATTGCATTGTCCCTAATATGATGGTCCTCCAGTTCTCATATCTTGTCTTATATCCTACTAAAAAGATTATATTCCACCCTTATTTTCGATTCCATAACAACAAGGATTATTCATATGTAATGAAAGAATACTAATATTTTGTACAAAGAGCACATCAAGTAGAACTATATGGCACATCATTCGTTTTTTGAGTTGAGGCTTTGTATTTTTTAAGCTTTTAATTCTTAGTTAAATATTCATGCCCATTCCACATATATATGTTTGAGAACTCATAACTCTTTTATAGGGAAAAGAAAATAAAATGAAAACAATATTTTGTAACTATATGATCATAAGTCCATAATTATATTTGTTATGAATCATTTCATCACCTTCGATTTTTCTTGAGACCATTTTTTTTTTGGTTTTATTTCCAACTTTTAGCAAGCTCCCCTAAAGAAATGCTCTTCACCGCAAGCTTTTCTCCCTCTCAATCTTGCATCCCTTTATTTCTCTCCTCAAGTTTCTAAATCATAGTGAATAAGAAGAATAAGAACCCATATTCTAAATCTCTCTCTTAAAACTCTATCATGTTTTCAACTTTTCAGATATTTCTTTGTAAATATCTCTTAAATTAGAGGAAAAATATATACAAATCCAGAAAAGAAAAGAAAATTACCAACACAAAAAAAAAAAAAAAAAACGGAAAACATAAACAGATAAAATATTACGGTATAATTAGATGTTTGAATAAATAAATTTAGTAGTGCAAAATATTGAAAACTTAAAAATTAGAGAGAGACAGACAAAATTGCTAAAGTGGAATAATGATGGTAGAAGATTGTAGTCATTTGATAAGTTTTATGATGCATGTGGCTTTAACAAGAAAATACTATATGGAAAGTTATTTAACTACACTGAGAAATTAAAGGGTTTAAGTATTGAGCATTGGCATCTCTTAGAATACCAAATAAAATGCTAACTAAGTTATAATGTGGTGGTTTAAGTTGAGGGAGTATCTTCTTCATTCCCATCTATGATAGCTTAGAAAATTATTCTCCATCAATTTTGTGGTAAAATGGTTCTCAAAGAAAATTATGTTTACTCGTTTTATATTATATCAAATTTATATTATACATAGAATTATTTTTTAGAAATTATAAACTACTGTGAGTTATGTACAA